CGAAAACGCTCACCAAGCCGCATTCTGAGAAAAAGCAAGCATGTAGGACGATGATCGCTGTTGCCCCGCGTAGCGTTCTGGGCAGCGGTTACAACCAGGCAGACAATTCCCGGCTAACAGGAGATCGGGACCACCGACTCATGGGCCACCTAATCAGATTACACCCCAGACTCATTTCCAGAGATTTCTAAGCTTTAGCGTGCAGAATCAGATTAAAGACGGAAGTATGATAATGATTTCCAGGAATTCTTGTGTTTATGTATTTATACCTAATGAATATGTATGATTGAGTAATATATATACTGTGTAGTTCTTGTGATTGGTTTGCGTTTCTGGTGAGAGCACAAACCCGCGCACCTGGCCATCAATAAATTGTCTGCTTATCTGCATCTAATTGATGTCGATAAGTTTTTATCCCAGCTCTTCGGTGACATATTAACATATGTATTTGATCCTCTGGTAATATGTGTGTACTTCTCAGAAATTATATTAATATTAATTTATTGTACATTGTAAGTGTGTTTTTGTCTTTCAGCATGCATATTAGGTGGAGCGATTCTCTGTGCGTCCATCACTGCAACAGACTGCCTGCCTGCTAAAACTTCAAACTATGTTGCAGCAGGCAGAGGAAGCAAGCAGCCGATTCAATGTGAATGATAGAGCAAGCTTCAACTTTATTGAAAGAAATCACACCTGATATAAGCACTCTACAATAATCATGCATACTTCTCACAAATCTATTGGATACATGTAAAAGGCTGCATTATAATATGCCAGCCCCTTGTGGCATTTCAGGTTATGTCACAACATCTTCCCTCTTCTGGCCTGCTTTCTTTCCCAAGGTTGTTTACCATCATGCTCAAGGCCATTGTGTACCTCAGTTTCTCTCTTTGTTAACATAACATCCTTTGTTAGCATAAATGTACCCTGGGTTTTTTCCTTTGTTTACCTCCGATGGCTGCAATCAGCTCCTGCAGAAACCTATGGCCTTGCTCTGCAAGCCGTTCTCCAACACTAAGTCTTAGGGAGTTCTTTAGGGGGCCGTGGGGCGGGCTTGGCCGGGGCTCCAGGACCGCACTGCCCTCACAGGGGTCCCACAGTGTCACGCACGAAGCCCTGGGGCGCTGCTCTGGAGGAGAGGTCGCACCCCCGCCGGGCATTAGGGGACGGCAGCGCATCCCCCTTGGGCACCCCTTCCCCAGACAGAGGAAACCCAGCACCCTCCTGCTGCCCTGGGCCGGGCCCAGGTCCAAGGGACTCCCTGTCCGGCAGTGGAGGAGAGACTGCAGACGGGGGGCGTCCCCTGCAATACCTGGCCACGAGGGCTTCTTCCTCCGTATCTCTCTGCTGGGGTGCAGATGCCACCGCTGCCACAAAACCCCCGCTAGCAAGTGTGCCCACAGTGACAAATGCCCCTGTGTGTGCAAGGATGGAGGGGGGGTTGTGTGGAGTTTCCTGTTTATCCCCACCAGTTACAGCAGGACACCTGTCCAGGGTCCAGTCATGGCCACAGGGAAGAGCCACCACTGTGCCAAGGGAGAGCCTCAGGGCTGCACAGGGGGAGCCCCGCACCCGCCGGCGCTGCTGCTGCCAGGGGAAGGGTGGGAAGCAAAGGCTCTTCCCTCGTTTCTCTCTTCTTCCCGAGACAGTTTTTCTGATTGTCCAGTATGCTCAGGAGCTGCTTTTCCCATTTGTAGGGCTTTCTGTCCCACCCCCGCCGCAGTTCCTTACCCCATTTCCCTCCTCAGGTTGATGTGCAGAGGAGGTTTAAGCCTCCTCTCAGCCAGACCCACTGCCCTGTCCTGCATCCGAGCAGGTGACGACCGTTCAGCCTCTGCCGATGGCAGGAGGTGCCTGCTCAGGGCTGGAGCTCTCCCGCTTCTCTTGCTGGGAGGAAGCTGCCCGCCTGTCTCTCTAGGGGCGCTGACAGCTGCTCCATGGGCTCTAGACTGTGCAGAAGCACCTTACACACGGGTGGGAGCAATAGGGACACTACAGGGGGAAGCAGAGCCATGCAGACCTGCACACGGGAAGCATTTGAGGGCTAGAGGTTGCAGGAGAAAGGAAAAAAGAAGCACAAGGGACTGCAGAGAGGCAGGACACCCCACTGAATACACACAAATGACCGGCAAAGCCAGAAGAAGGACTAGCACTAGGGTAGATGAGATCCCCCCTATTGAGGGGGTGGGTAAGCAGCACAAAACTGTCCTGTGTGAAGAGGAAACACGGAGAAGCTTTTTCTGGTTCCAGCTTCTCTCACCAATGAGCTCCCTGGCCTGATCACACTGACTTCAGCAGACAGGAGCATCGAGGTCCACAGTCCCCAGTGCTGACAGTGCCATGAGCCCAGGTACCTCTGGAAGCATGTGGATTTTCCAAGCATTTATGGGATGCCAAGGGAAAGAGAGGGGATTGTTCCCTTGAGAAATAGCCCTTCTTGCTTGTTTCCAAATGTCAAGTAACTTTCCATTTCCTTTTAGAAGGCTGGCACGTGTTTAGAGGACAAAATGCTTCCTCAAAAGAATGCCTATCCTAGTTAAAAGAAAAAATGGTTTTGCTTATATTTAATTTAACCATTTTCTTTATCGCCTAAAATGATTTACCAAGATGAATGTATGTCTTCAAATACTGCCCATCATTCTGTAATAGCATTTTCCAGTTGGAGAAATCAAAATGTCTTTGTGTGCATCCTGTAGCTTCAGGCAGCCAAGTATACCTCCTCTGCCGACCTCACCACTGACACCACCATATGGGAGAGAATCAGAAGGGCAAGAGTGAGACGAAACTCATGGGTCAAGATACAGATGGTTTAAGGAGGGAAGGAAACTGCCTTGGGAATATTCACAGGAGCACACCACGGCTGAGGTCAGAAGGGACCTCTGGAGGTCATCAGGCCCAAGCCCCTCCTCGAGTGGGGCCACCTACAGCCACCTGCCCAGGGCCATGTCCAGACGGCATTGGACTGTCTCCAAGGTGGGAGTCTCTAAAACCTCCTCGGCTGACCCGTGCCAGGGCTCAGTCACCCTCTCAGGGAAGAAGTGTTTCCTGACATGCAGAGAGAACTTCCCATGCTTCAGCTGAACCCACGGCCTCTGGTCCTGCTGCTGGGCTCCAGTGGAATGAGCCAGGCTCCATCCTCTCTGTGCTCTCCCTTCAGGGGTTTGCACACACCAATCAAACAGCCCATGAGCCTTCTTCTCTCCAGGATAAATGGAACTAGTTTCTCAGCTCCATTTCTTCCTGGGGGAAGCATTGTTTCACTGCCAACGGGAGTCCAGCAATGAGTATGTCAGTATGCAGGGTGCATAATCCCTGGACCAGGGTGGAAAGAAGCCAAAGAGAACACGTGTTGCATTCTCTGTCTCATTTAGAGCATCGGCTAGTTCTGCCAGACAAGTTACCCCTGAGACACAATTAAACAGCCGCATGTTGCTGCGGGTAAAGTACCAATCGCTCAGTGTTTTGTGACAGACTGGTGCTGTGCATTGACATGCTTACGTTGTCCCAGCTCAGGAGGTGGCTGAAGAAAGATGTATTATGGAAAATGCACTAGTGTGATGGCAAAAAGCTGCCTCAGCATGCCCTAGGCACGTCTGAAACCTTAACTCCCAGCCTCATCCCACTACATATCGAAGGCATAAATAATTAACACAGGTTAGAGTGTAGTGGTAAAATTTAACCCACAACATCTTCACTACTTTTCACCTTTTTAATGCTGCGAAGTACAGTACAGGAGGCCATCTAATACCAGAAACCTCTGCTGCTTCTTGGAGGGACAGTGTTTCCTGCAAGGGTAAGGCTGTTTAAAATAATACACACTCCCAAGTTGATGCTTGTTTTATTAGAATCTTATCTAACAGTTCTTAAATGTAAAATTCACAGTTTATGATGCTCAAGCATCAAAATCTTAAAGCTTATTTTCCAGAAACTCCAGGTGATGAAGAAAAAGGCATTCTAACCCAACATCTTTCAGACATTAATTTGGAAATGGAAACAAAGTAGACCTTAATTTAAAGATTTTGTAGCTGAGACAAACAATGTGAAAAGCTGAATTACAAAAGACACAATACAACCCAACCTTCATGCTACAAGTTTACCTTTCCACAACACTTAGCAGTTCCAGGTCAGTTCTTTCCACCAAAAAGACGCTGTAGTGGCAAAAAGATTATGCTGGGGAAACACAACAAAAAGAGCACATTATAATTAAAATACTTCTCTGAGAACTGGAATAACAAGGTAATTTCCATCCTCCAGAAAGACATAACCCCAGCCCAAAATAATAAAGAGGAAAACTGAAAAAACAGAGGAAACGAAGCCTGTACCCTGTTAGAAGGGGCAGTGCCTAAGTCCTTCTGAAATGGGACTGGAGGTGGCCCTCCTCAGCTATTAAAAGCCACATTGTACACGGGCTGTGACTGAGGTCAGTGACCCTTCTGTGAGGAATTTTCTTCCCAAAGACAGCTCAGAAGAGTAACATTTACTGGGAGCACTGCACCTTACCACAAGACAAAAGGACCTCCCTTTGCCTTGGCAGACCTGGGGTTAACCACAGAAAGGAGGTATCCATGCTTCAAGATACATGGCATGGTGTCACCTGAACTGCCAGAGTCAGGCTCAGGCTCCACACGGGCTGGGACAGAGACAGAGCTGCAGCTGCTTGCAGCAGCAGCTTTAGTACCTTCTCCAGAACCTGGATAGACCACTTCCTCCTGACTCCACACTGCCTTTGTTGGCCCTGTGGTCCATCTGCTGCAGTGGCTGCACTGCACCCTCAGCCTGACCAGCTGCTGTTCCATGTCCAAGGCCAGACTCCACAGGTCCCCCTGTAAGAAACAGCAGCAGGAACAAAAAACCAAGCTGGCTCTCTCCATGCTCCCCACGCACCCAACAGCAGACCCTGAACTTAGAAGTGGGTCCAGGCTCTGACTGACCCCACACCTGGGAGCTTCCAAGGCAGTCCCACTGCAGACTGATCTGGAGGTAGGCTCCCATCTCCCAGCCCAGCTCTGACAGAGCTATGGAGCCCAGCTCAATGGGCGGAAATTCCTTACGCGGAGTGAGAGTCTCTGCCAAAATCACTGGTGACCTACCACTTCACAGTGCTTCTAATTCCTAATCTCACATGCTGGAAAATACCAAACACGATTTTTGAAGATAAACTAATACCAGTGTAATCCTTGCAGCTTTTGATTTAATACAACCAATTTGAACAAAACAATCCAGGAATTCCTTACTTACAGAAGTTCACTTGGTTGCAGCCCACACGAAGGGATACTGGACTCCACTGACACTCACTTTCTTGGGAGGGATTCTGAAAGGAAAGGAACCCCAGAACTGTTATACCATGTAAAATGCTATTGGACAGGGGATTTTGGTTGGCTTGTTTGCTTCAAGAACTAAAAGGCAAGGCCTACTCTCTTGTTCTGTCATTATGATCTTTTTCCTGCTACCTTGAGGACTTTCTTCACCAATGTGTTCCCCGCCCTTCCCTCCTCAGGCCATTCCTCAAGACAGCCATGGGACTGCAGCACTTCCACACTCCTCCTTCAGGATCAAGTGCCTGTGTTGTAAAGGCAATCCCACGTGTGCCAGGCAGACAGATTTCCTTCAGGTTTCACAAGACCCAGGCAGTACACCCTGGACACCTGATGTTTTATGCAAGCCCACAGAGCACAATTGCGTGAAGGCTCGTCCAGTTGTGGAGAGGTCCAAAAGGGTCCTGTGTGTCACCATGCAGAAACACACAGAAATCCAGGTATTTGATGCAACTGTTCACCTCCCAAGGAATAGTGGGAGAAGCAGCTGTTCCTTTTATACCACCAGGCAACCGTCTTTGGACAATCCCAAGAGGAAGGAGTTTGCTTCCTCAGAAAATACTCTCAATAGTCACAAATGCAGGTGATGCAGGGAAAAAGGGAATAAAAATACCCAAAGGCATCTTTATGCTTGCCAGTTTAAGAATCTAGGACTAAACATATGCTGTTGTCTCTTTCTGAATATTCTGTAGCTTACCCTTTCAAATCCATGCTTTGCTTTACTCACATGGTGAACACACTCTGCTCCAGTCCTAAAAAGAAGTCAAATAAGTAAGTAAGAAATGAGTTTTTGACAAAAAGTCACAAAAAGGAAGCAATCCTGTAAATGGCTACTCCAGTATTTCATTAGAAATCAGGGGTTTAGCATCTCTAGCCAACAAGACAGATACCCTTAATCTCTAGTTGTACTCATGCTTCAAAGTCTTATTTAAAAAATGAAAATATGCACTCGTTCCAGTATTAGGCTTTCTGCTTTTCTAGTAATGAAAAGAAAAAAAGATCAAGCAGTGATCTGACTGCAGTAGACAAACTCCTTCCTGGGAAAGGGGAGTGCTCAGGCTGAATTAGCTCTTCAGTCTAACAGAGTCATCGGAAGAAAATGACAGAAGGCTTGAATGCCACCCCAATTTAATCTTGAAATCAAGAAGACACTTTAAAACTCTTTACTGTTTTAATCTTTTTTTGAATAGCCTAAGTTCTGGGGCAAGACACAGGACTAAGAGAGAACTGCCAAACTGGATCATGACAGAGCCATTTCTGGCCTTGTTTTTTCTGAATCTACAACTCGCATCTTGGCTAGAAGAGATGAGAAAGCATTCTGGATCCTGGTCTCATTCTTCACTCATTTCCAGCAGTTTTCTTTTCACTAGAAACTGTCAGCAGGGGAGGGAAATGAAAGGGCAACATTTGTATGAGCAGGAAAAGAGCTGGCTTCAGACTTCTCCCCTATCAATCACTGCAGGAAATATATTTGGGAATTGGGCAGAACAGAAGGCAACAAGCATATGATCTGACACAGTCTGTGCATCGCCATGGAAGGGGAAAGGTAAGCAGAAACACTTCTGACCACAGCGCTGCACCTGGAACTGGCTGCCACATGCTTGTGATTATTAAATATAGGCACAAATTTTCTCTCTGGAAGCTATGCTCTACGGAAGAAACAAGCCTGCTGGACTATAACTAATAACAGGCCTGCTCTGAAAGGTAGTCAAGACCCAAGCCTGAAGTCAGTCACCACGAGCCAGCACCACACCCTCGGGCTGAAGGTGGCCAACAACACCCTGAGCTGCATGAGGAAGAGTTCTGCAGCAGGCGAGGGAGGCAATCCTTCCCTCTGCTCAGGGTGCTGAAGGAAGTCTGTGTGCTCTGGCCAGGCTGGGCTCCCCAGGCCAAGACTGGGACTCACCCGGGTGAAAGCCCAGCAAAGGGCCACAAAGATGAGGAAGGCACTGGAGCACTTTTTGTACATGGGGAGGCTGGGAGAGCTAGGACTGTTCAGCCTGAGAAAGACTCAGGGAGATCTTGTCAACATACACCTGATGGGAGGGAATGAGGAAGAGGGAGCTGGGCTCTCCCCAGCAGTACCTGCTGGCAGGGCAAGAGGCAAAGGGCACAAACTGCAAAACATGAAATCAAATCTGAACACAAGAAAAAACTTTTTGACTGCAGCTGTAGATTCTGTCACCTATGGAAGAGAAGGAAGAAGAGAAATGGGGCAAAGGATTACACAGGAATTACATTTGGAAGGTACAAGAGACACTCAAAATACTGATATGTGCCCTGGAAGAGTATTTTGGAGTCAACTGACCTGTCCGTACCCAACTGTGGGCATGAGGTCTCTGCTCGGACTTCCACTCTTCTCCTCTTCACCATTTCTTCTACTGAAGTACTTTCTGATACTGCATTTCTACCCTTGACCTTCAAAACATTGAAGACTTGGTATTGATAAAATTGATTTTGACTTTTCTATTTTAGCACTATGTTAATATACATTCATATTTTGCAAAACAGTTCATGTTTATACAATGAAAAACAAAAAATTATTCAGGAAGAAAAGATTATCTGCCATATTCAAACACAAGATAAGTACTGAGAGGCCATCCAGAGAATTATGCTCAACAATTTTAAACAAGAAATAACTGCTTTCCAGGATATCCTATTTGCTCCATTTTTTTGAGGAGGGCCTAAGAATGTAATAAGCAAGAATGTAATGCTAGCAGAGACAGTGGGAAATTTGGACAGTACGTCTTCACTAATTCACTCCACCTTCAGACACTTACCTGTGTTGAAAACAAAACCTTTCCACCACCCCTGAGCCCTCATGAAACAAAACCTTTCCAAAGAAGCTTAACGTTGTTGTTCATGATACATATAGCACCTAGGAAAGGACTTAAGTATTCAGCAAAATTGACCTCATACAGCCTCTCCCAGTGAGGAAACCATTGGTCAGCTCAGCTCGGACTTGCAGAAAACACATTTAACTGAAGCCAGCAGGAATCTCCCGTCCCGAGGCAGGACTTCATTCATAGTCCATGGGAACTGACAGGAAGATTTCTCCCAACTTGGCTGGTTTTAGGGGAGAAATCAGTGACAACTGACATTGACTGACTGACACCCAGCAGTAGGAGAACTATAGCACTGCCTATACATACATTCTGCTTCTCCAGACTATTTAGAATATAGCTTTCAGAAAAAAAAAAAAAAAGCAAAACAAAAACACACAACTTACAAGCTCATCACTGCCCTTGCTAACTTCTTTACCTGCAACAGAGGTATTATAAAATTTGGTGAACATGTGGTGACTGGACTTTCTTTAACCAACAAAAGTACATTTTTGCATTGCACCTCACTTTCCAAGAACAAGATAAACTACTTCGAAACCATATTGGACTTGCATTTGATATGTTGAAACTGAAAAACTGTGGATACAGCTCTTCCAGAACTAGAATTCCTGTGAGTGTGATACCACAGCTCAATAGCATACAGACAATTGCTTTTCCTGAAGAAGTCAAAGGAGTCTTCAGAAGAGAAGGAACGGAAGAACTGTTTGTGTCACTCTGTGTTCTGGGCACCAGACAGAAGATTCAAGGACAGCTGGAGCACATCCCCCAGAGAATAATTGGCCAGCTAACCTGTGATGCATGGGATCCATATGTGTTTTCCTGAAGAGGAATCCTGTTTCAACAGAAACTCGAAACATCATTGCCTGAAAGTAACAGCACCTACAACTACCTGCAGAGGGCAATAAAACACTGGAGCAAGGTGTACAGGGAAGTGAATGAATTCTCCACCTTTGCAAGTTTTTACATCCAAACATAGTATGTTTGACAGGGGGTGCTACACACCAGCAAATGGGCAAGAAATGACCACTTGTCCATTTTAGAAAGGAGACCAGAATATCGACTATGCAGTCCCAAGAAAAACCAGCAGCTTTTCCCAGGGACCAATAATGAGAACAGGAAATAGCGAAAATAAACACTCGGGATTTGCACAACAGAGGAGGTTAAATGTAGAGGTCCACAGAGGCATCAGCTGGGGCCTGAGGCTGTTCAGAAAATTCACAGAAAACCTGGAAAATAAGACACTAGTGAGGTGATATTTGCTAATTACACAAAAGACATTATTACCATTATTACCGTCATTATTTAGAAAAACAAATGCATTCTTTCTTTAGGAAAATAGAAACAAAGAGTGTGAAGTTCAATGTCAACAAACATCATCAAGCATAAGAAAGCAAAACATGCATTCTATACACATGTGCTGGCTCCAACCAAGCTACTGACATGAAAAAATGAAGGTGGGGAGCCACTGGGCACTGATTTATAAAAACACTAGCTGAAGAGTCAGCAGTGGTTGAGCAGGCAGAGAAACGCAGGAAGTTTCAGAAAAGCAATACAGAACAAAAGAGAACACACCGCTCTGCTCTATTTCAAATCCATGGTACAGCCTTACTGCACAGTTTTGCTTCCTCTGATTCAAAGACACAGTGGGTGAGGGGAAAGAGAAAACCAAGACATTGATCACAGATGTTTCCAGAAATCATCAAAACATAACCATACCGACTTACCGCAAGATAAGTTTTGCTGAAACGAGTTGAGCTCTAGATACATAGTGCAGATGTAGGGATAAGGCATGAGATGGACATTCTCATGTTTGAATCTCATCTCCGATACTCTCTCCCATTTACTCAAATCTGAGAATGACGATAAGACTTAAGAACACAGCACTAACATGTCAAAGGAGCAGGAGTCCTGACAGTGTCTTCTCACAAAGCTTCAAAACCTCATACCACGTGGCACAGAGGTGTAAAGGAGTAAATACAATCTGTCAGTACGAACTCTGTGAAAAAACACTAGCCCATTACAAGAAACACTCACCCAGGTGATACTCTTCTGTCAGTCACTTGTATTAATAGTGTTGTGTTTCCTTAACTGTATTTGGCTCCAGCCCTGACATCCTCCCACAAGAAACAAGCCAGGCTCTTCCAACCCTATGAATAAAACCTCACCAGTTTTCCTAACTAAAAAGTAAGTCTTTTCAACATTATTTTTAAAATTGAAAAGGCTAGGAATCATAACAGTAGCATCATGACATTTACTTCCCAGTTAAAAATGCGTGGAGAAAAGATAACTGACATGGCAACCACCAGTTGCAGACGCTCCTTCCTGTGGGTGCAGCTCTGACACCCAGAGGCTCATGCAGGCAAGAATGGATGAGGCTAGACAGCACTCTCCTTACATGCCTCTTGTCTCGGGAAGAAACAAGTAAAACAAATACTTTGAGTCTGTTTGCCAGCAGAAACTAACATCCTGAGGACTGGAGGTGGAGCCCAAGATTTGCCTACATGAAACACTGACACAATCCGTTCCTTTAAGGGACAAAATTGCTCATCTGAGTTTGGCTTCAAGGACTCCCACAGCTGGTGACTGACTAAGAGTTATGCTAGAGTGAGGAGCCCGACACAGAGACTGCAGGTCAACTCATCACGCCAGGCCTCTGAGCTTGCAGTTCTCATCAGGGCCCAGTGCTGGCTGATCATGTGGATCGACTTCCAAGTTCTAGAAACACACATTCATGAATCAAACAGTCCTCAAGCATGCAGGCAAAAGTGGCTGAGCTTTAGAGAAGCAAAGCAACAACAGATTTCCTTTGTTTGTGTGATTCCTCTCTGATGATGCTCTTGGCTACTTTCTCTTATGGGCAGTAACAGGAGTAAGGTACTATCGTATGTACCTGCTTCTGACAGAGGAGGATGACCTTGCTCTTCCCTGCTATGAGGAGGTGTGGCAATAGTGCAGTCTCCCAAGACTGGAAGGGAATGCCTTGGAGGCAGAAATACCCACGTGTTTATTACTCCTGAGCACCCAGAACCACAGGAGATGATGCCACAGGGCCTGATCTGATTCACCAGCCAACATACCTTAGGACTGGAAAGGCTTCCCATTCAACTAGCTTACTTTTCTCTTCAACATGAGCCTCAGAAGGGTAATTTCTTTTTAACACTTTACAGCAACCACAATATTTAATCCTAATGTACCTTACAAGAAATCTACTGCTCTCTTCTCTACTAGTGGGCCAGCTTCACTGAGCCTGAAAGGAGCATTTTGTAGTTAATTAACTTTTTGAAGCAATGCATTGGCTTTGCCTGCAGTGGCATTAGGTGGGCTTCCTGTGACTTTATATACACACACTCATTTCCTCTGGCTAAATCAGATTTGGAGCACAGGATTGTTCATCTGAAAACACAGCAAAACACTCTTTTCACAACAGTTCTCTCTCTGGTGAAGGCAACAGCTGAGGAGGAACTTCAGCTAACATAAAACTGTGAAACTCAAAGGAGATGTACTCCAGCTAAAGACCTGCACACTGCTAGACATGAATGTTGAATTAAGCAAAGCCCAGCAGACATAAGACATTGCATATTTTCTTTTATGAGTAGGAAAGAAAGGATACATGGAAAGATAGTGAAGTGGTCTGTAGAAAATGGATGTAAATCATCCAGATTTCCAAGAATTACTCGAATCGCCTCCTGGAGAGGCCAAAAAAAGAAAGGAAGGAAGCAAGAATATTAACAATACAACCACAGTTCCACTGGCAAGTACAAGTTCAAGGCTTGGGAAAAACTTAAAATTACTTTACAGTTCGCATGAATCACGGAAGAGCAGGTTCTAGATATTTTGCTTTTCCTCCTCCCCTTCTTCACCCCATTCCCTCACATCACCTTAGAGTGTGCTGCACTAACAGACTCATGGAAATTGAAGCGGATTCATATCTTAATCATCAATTAACACAGAAGCATTACTATGGAAACTGAAGGTGTGCTTTTAAATTTAAGAAATTTTAAATGTAAGAAGTCTCCTTGTTGCCAGAAAAACACATGTAGCATTGACCTGTTTCAAAAGTAAACATATTCCCCTTTTTTCTGAATATTGGCCCAATTCAGTTACAAAGGAACTCTAATTCAGACATGACAAACTCCTTTTTTACAAATGGGAAACTTCTTCTAGGAATACCTTCCAATATTTTCAAAAGTGAAAAAGAAAAAAACCCCTTCCATACCAATTAAAATCAGCACATTTTCTTCATAATATTTATAATGCTATTACTGTACTCTTTCAGACTGTAAAAAACTAAGTAATAGGAGCATTTTGAAACAGGCAGGATATTTGTCTCATTTCCTGGGGAGTGGCAGGGGTGAAGAAAATGACAACCACAGAACTCATCGGTTGCGACCAAGCATGCTCACAAAGTCGTGCCATCATTAAAAGAACGTCTGCTGGTTCCCCTAGCCCCACAGTTACGAGGAAAGAATGTGCAGCTGAAAATAGCCTGTGTCAAGCTAGCTCACCGGTCCTGCCACAGCTCCTGAAGAAACAGGAGGGTTTGACTGCCAGTCAGGCTTGAGAAGTTAAAAGCAGAGGTCAGGTCTGAGGCGGAGAGCGAAACCATGGGCAAAAGTGCTTCTGCAGAATGAATCTGAACAGGAATCACAAAGGAACAGGGTGCAACTAGCTTGACAAGTAGGTGCCTTCAGTTGCCTCATTTTAACAGTCAGCAGCTGCTTTGAAATATTTCAGATAAAAGCCTTACTCTTCTACACTAATGCTGCCTGGTGATGACAGTTTTCACTTATGTCATTTTTTCACCCTCGTACTCACCAGAGAAGTTCCCTGTTACTCTCACTTGAAATGCTGCATTTGACAAAATGTCCTCCATACCATAACAAACAAAATATTTGCTCAGCTTAACGTTCAGCTAAGGTCCCGTGGACCTCCTACCTCTACCTCCTTGACAGCACTTTCAGTGGTGTGGAGATCAGGAGCGCTGTGAAACAAACAGAGAGTTAGTCCCACCCCAGTCAAAAAGCAATGGAACTACATACATTGGAAGAGTTTAAACAACAGTAAAACATCATTCCCCCTGAACAGAGAAAACACTTAGCAGGCAGATGAATTCCTAATCTACTACTGTTGAAAAACATCCATTAATCCACATGGACCATTTCTTTTCCATTCTCTGCCCGTTTGTATTTTGTGTGTCTGAGGATACAGTGGGTGACAGAGATCAGATCTTTTTACTGATCCTTGGTAACCTTTAGGATTGTTTTTTTGACCAGGTGCCCTCAAACCAGCACCTCTGTCTTCCAGCCTATCATGACACCATTCTGCTCAAGGGACTAAAAGCAGGAACTGGCAGGACACGTCTCTTAATCCCCTCCACCATGCAAACCTGCAGAGGAACAGGCCTTCACAGCACAGGAGCCAGGCCCTGTGATGCTGGGAGTTGTCTACTGCCTCCATCAAACTGTCTTCCCAAATATTAACCACACCTTTTGTAAGCCATCTTCTCAAAAGCAGAAATTGTTTGCTGCTAGGTATCGACCAACAATAAAAGGCAGAGGGAGAGAGAAGGTCTTAAAGAAAATCCAAACCCATAAAAAGTAAGCAAATCACATAACTGTTACTTGCAAATAAGTCAACCAAGGGGAGTGTAAGGAATTATGGCATGCAAGAATTCTCTGGTAGAGGGTCTGGTAGGCAGCCATTCTCATCTCTTCCACATACAGGGGCCACAGCCAGAACTTGGTCAGAGATGAGAACCTTCCTTCCTCTTCAGACAGGCTCTCTCCTTGCTTGATACGAAACAAGTTAATGAAAGGAATTACACAGCGCCCCAAGCAGAAGGACAGATACCACCCGCCCAAGGCTTAGGCTGCAGGCATGTAGTCTCCATGAATCAGTGGGGAAAAAAAAGTATGATTCTGGAAGGAACACTGCTGCAGTGATGAGGAGAAGAGGCTGTAAGGAATGAAAGAAAGCAAGGTACCACCCAGGGTCTCACGACAAGGACGTCAGACCTGCTGCGTGACTGCAGGGGATTCACTGGCTGGCGGGGGAGGGGGGGGG